AGTGAGCGAGGCTAAGACCCGAGTGAACTCAAGTATCGTGAGAGAGTTAGGCGAATAACCGAGTCGATCACACCTATCGTCGAGAGCAAGGCCGTGGCGAAGCCGCGATCGAGACAAGTCGAGGGAATGCAACACACGATCCGTCATCACACCAGCAGGCCCTGCGCGGGACCGAGTCGGTTGGCCCAAGCCAGCGGCCGACCGCCCGGCCACAACAAGTCGGCGGTCCGGCCAGCTAGTGAACCGGCCGATCTAGACCGGTCAATTGAGTTTTTTTTCAGTATTTATTAACCCAGTTCGAGTTCAGTTCAGAACTTCAGTTAATTTTTTAGTCTATTCGGTTCAGTATAGCAATACCAGTTCAGTTCAGATTTAAAATCAGTTAAAGTAGAACCTTAGACTGTTCCAGTAAATCTAGTTAGATTATTAGTTAGAGTCGGGCATCTTAGCAGTTATTTTTAGTAAGTCTGAGCATAACACTTAGCATTTGTTTATTTATATATTTTTACAGTTTGAGCAGTCAGCAGATCGATCAGCACTTACGTTTTCAAAACCAGCAGTACAGGTGGGGACTCAGACTGAGTATTACATTGAGTATAATTACAGATATCATGTTCGAGGTATGTATATTCAGTTTCCGCTTAGGGTGGTGGTCCAGATACCGTAAGTCCATCCTAACTTCTAGTGGCGTAATCTGCTCACTAGAGTGTGCACATGACTTCCGGCCCTCAGTATCGCCGGCAGATACAATTTCAGACTCAGCTTCAGTATCAGTATCAGTTTCAGTTATATATACTATTGATCATGATATTGCAATTATTATTGTTGTTTACTTTAGTATGAGTTTCTGCGGAGCACAGTGGCTTTTAGTGCTCATGCCCCACTCTTTTCTCTTTTTCAGATTGCAGAGTCGGTCCAGAGGTGTGAGCTCAGCTGGTGGTCGTGGACTTGGCTAGATGCCATTTTGCAGACTTTTGTTGTATATATTTTGTCACGTTTTTACTTCTGCTGACATTTACAGCTTTTCAAACTTGCATGACAGTTTTCAGATTTTGATCCAATTTCCCAGTCAGATTTTGTACAGTACTACATGCTAGTTTGATTAAATATAATCCATTTTCTTTACAGTTAAATTCAGAAAAGGATAATGGATTTTTCAGAACAGAAAAGTTTTAGTAGCATCCCGAATAAAAGTTTCACAAATTATTTAGAAAAGATTTTTGCGAAAATCTGACTCTGATATTAGCAAGATAGCGGGATGTTAAAAATCAGAAAGCATGAAAAATTGTCACATAAAATCTCAAAACATGTGAGGTGATAAATAAAAATTTGTCACATAAAAGCTCGAAGGATGCCAACTGTCACATGGAGATCTATAATATTTAATGTAGGAATCAGATTGGAGAAAAACTGAAGTTTAGGAGGGTGTATTCAATTGAGATTTTTAAGGACTTTTTAAAACTTTTTAAATTTGATGACTTTTGTGGACTTTGTAGAACTTTCATTACTTTGGTGGACTTTTTGAGACTTTCAGAGAATTTTCATCAGTGACTTTTTAAGACTTTCATAATGGACTTTTTAAAACTTATTGAGACTTTTATATACTTGCAGTTATAACATTAGTTTGAATAAAATATTAATAAACGTAACATAATAACTAATATAAACAAGAATAAATGAAAAAACAAAAAGATGTTGTATATATTAATCCTCTAAAAATTTATGAATAAACTCATTTTTACGCGAAATGAGTTATTCACGAACAAATTGTTTAGGATTTTAGATTTATTAAACGAGTAAGTAAATCGATCCGAGCTTCAACGAGTCGAATCGAGCAGGGCCTTATATTTGTTTGTTAAGAGAGTACAAGGTCAAATATGTGTTAGACATCTCTACTATAACGACACTTATAATCAACTCAAATTAAGATATATTTATTTAATTATTTATTGATTTTATTTTTTATATTTTTTGCATAATGTTGTTATATTAGAAAAATATTATTAGGTTATATTTTTACAAGATACAAACATGCCGAAAAACAGTAATTGTATCTTATAAAATTATCTATAATATTCAAAACATTTCAATATTAACAAATAAACTATTTGAAAATAAAATATTTTTTCTTAATATTTTGAAATAAACATTTACAAATAAAGAGAAAGAACAAATAAATTATTTGCAAGTGCAACTATGGAAGCATTAACCTTTAAAAAGTCAAATTCACAAGATAGCAAAATGAGAGAATAAGGTATACACACATAAAATAAGCATAATAAAGAATATATAAAATAAAAAGATACAATAATATGTAATGAAAATAAACCTTACACAAGGTACCAAAATAAATAAGTAAAATAATAGAGCATGAAAATGATATGGGATACAAAGTCGTGTTAGAAAAAAAAAAAGAGCGTGAAAAGAGTTACATAAGTCCAGCAAAATCTCACCAATATTGATGATATTTCTGTTGAGACTTTTCCTTTGTAATTTTATTACAAAAGTCTCCAAAAGTCTCAAAATTTTAGAAGTCTCACAAAGTCTTTCTGTTTTGAATACCGGGTGACTTATAAAGACTCTCAGAATGTTTTAATTGAATACCCTGAAACTTTTAGAGACTTATTAAAAGTCATTAAAAGTCTCAAGGGATCTTCTAGGGACAGGTAGTGTTGTACATAACTGACATCAGGTAGTCCACTTTGTTACCATTAGATTGAGTGAAGATTGAATATCAACCATTGATTTCATGTACAAACTATGTACAATGAAAAAAAAGAAAGATTTTTGCTTTGTACATGGATTTGTACACTTGTACAAGCGAAAAACCTATTTTACCCTTACTATTACTTAAAATATAAATAAATTATAATTTGATGTTTCTATTTATTTTGAAAGTCTTGTCTTTATCTAATTTATATATCAGTCCTTTATGTTTTGTACTTATTATTACAATCCATTATCTAAATGTTCATCTTTTTTTTTTTTTTAATCTTTAGATTTTTGTTCATCCATCGTTCTTCATCATCGCCATCGTTCTTCATCATCGCCATCGCTTGTTCCTTCGATTCCACCGGCGAAAACTTTGCATCCCCTAATTTCGATTAACAAAAGACCATTCCGTTCAGGTAATTGTTGTTAGAATCAAATGGTGAACGAAATCAAACACCAATATTTGGTACAAAAAAAATTCCTAAAAACTCTTGGATTTCCGATATTGTTTGTTATTCACTGATGAATATTAGATTTAAT